AGGAGAAGAGAGGAGAGGAGAGGAGAGGAGAGGAGAGGGGAGGGGAGGAGAGGAGAGGGAGAGAAAGAAGAGTCTATGGGGTCTTGGAGAGAGTGTGGGAGTTATAGAAGAAGTGCCTGGTGAACAAGGTGGGCCTTGAAGGGTACCCTAGTGTCCATGGGGCCAAGGAATCAGGTGTCCCATCTTGGTGTCCCATCCTCCCCAGTCCTTTGGTTTACTTAAGACTCTAGTCCTGGACATGACCCTGGAGAACTGGGCACCAAGTCCACCAAGAATGACTTTAGTGAAATTCTCCATTAACTCAGCAGAATGATTGTTAGGGTCCAAACTTTGCTTGAGTTGCAGAAAATCAAGGGAGTGGTTGTTCTTGCATCTTGAATTGGGGACTAAGGTGTTCACCTCAATTCTACCACACTTCTCTGCAGAGCCCAAGGGCCCTCTCTCCCATTGCAGCTAGCATAGGGTGACGTTGGGAGATGGGTTTGTGGAGGGGACACAAATGGAGGGTGCTGACCCAGGCAGGCAGAGTCAAGAACAAGAATAGGGATCAAGACTGGAACAAGAACAGGGATGGGGTCTTGGCCTTACTTACCCCACAGAAGGGTTGCTCCAGCCCAGAGTGTCCACCAGCTCCACAGGAAGCCCATGTCTGCAGTGGGGAAATAGAGGGGGGTCATAGGAAGCTGATCTGCCCCTCCTGAGAGACCATCTCAGAAACAATAGAAGGGCCCAGTCTCAGGACAATGGCCACCTGGACAGCAGGAAGGCTTGAGTGGGCTGGATCCAAGGGTCAGTGTGTATAGGGTAGTTGGATGTCCAGTTGGTCTGGGGATGGGGTGGGGAGGGCAGGACAGGGGCAAGGATAGGGAGTTGGGTGTCCATTGGGTCTGGGGATGGGGTGGGGAAGCCTGGAGTCAGGAGCAAGAGTAGGAGACCTGATGTCCTATTTCCAAAGGAGACCCAGCCTCTCTTACCTGCAGGTCCCTGGAGCTTCAGGGTTAGCCCCTGGGCTGGGCTATATAATGGAGTTTCTGGGCTCCTCAGGCCACACCCTGGGCCACCTGCCAGGCAGATGTTTCCAACTTCCGGGAGGAGGCTCCTGATCCCAGAGCCAGGTGGAATGGGGATCCTGAAGGCCTGTGAAGGGTGGAGGGCAAGCCTGGATGCCTGGGGCCTGAGGATAAGAGAACAGCTGGTGGCTGTGCCCTGAGAGCATGCTGGGAAATTCAGTCCTAGAAGGGTGGTGGTCCTGAGAGAAACAGCTGGGGAGCAGGGTGCTCAGACCCTAGGTCCCCGGGGGGTTGAGATCTGGGTGGAAGATGGTATTTAATCTTGTTTGCTGACCAGAAGCTGCCTGCAGATTTTTCCTTTGGCTTCTGCCAGATATAACAGCAAAGGACCTGCATCCGGGTTCTGGCTGCTCCCCAGTTCCTATTAGCTGATCTCTGGTCCCCAGCCACCCACATGCTGTTTCCAGGCACCACTACGGGAGTGTGTGTGATGGGGAGGTATCTGGACACCTTACTCAGGCCTGTGCAGTGAGATACAATACCTCCACCCCCAGTCTAAGAGCCTCCTATGAAATGGGAACTTCAAAACTAACCTCACTGGGATTATTTATCTCCCAGAGGGAGCTCTGCAAACTCTCAAAGACTGTAGGTGGGCGGCAGGCATCTCTGTGTGGCAACGGGGGGGCTGGAGCTGTGTGCAAAGAGAGACAGAGGCCTCTGTTTCCTGGTTCCACACAGACACCAGGTTCCACTTCCTGGAGAATTCTTTGTTTTCTGGCCCTGAAAAGGGGCTGATTGAACAGATTGTGAGCACCTCCATCGCTCCAGAACCTGCCTGGGATGGGAGATGGGTCTAAGTCGCACACAGGGAGAAGAGACCACTGAAAGGTGGTGTGGGCTTTCTCAGATGCAGTCTGTTCCTCCCGGGGCCTGGCCTGACCCATGCCCTGCTCCGGTCCTCCTGACCTAGGACTCATTGTTTGCTGGGGAGTCTCCCCTGGAAACAGCAGCTGCAAAGCCTGGGTGTCCTCTCACACAACACCCAGCAGCTGCTGCCCCTAGGACTCCTCCTCTCTTATCACCAAGGCCTGGGCTTCTGTGCAGCCAGGGTGGGTGGGGCTCTGACACCCTCCACCCAGGGCAGGTTCCCAGAGGGAGAGATAAAGGCTCAGAGTCAACCAGGAACCCAAAGTCAACCAGGAAAATGAAGTGAGTAAACAGGAGAATGGATAAAAGCCAGAGCTATCAAGAAACAGGATGGGCGGGGCACCTACAAGGGGTGAGAGCTTTGGGGAGAGGGGTGCCTGGGTCCCTGAAGAGTCTGGGGGTGGGTAGAAGGGTCATCTGAGTTGCCAAGGGGAAAAGGGAGGGGGCTTCTGGGATTCCTAAGGAGGGAGCAGCTATTGCAAACCAAGATGTCAAAATCTTCTGTTTCAGACACTCCTCTTATAGTCTGAGACACTCAGAGAAATGAGGTGGGGAGGGAGACAGACAATTAGGGAAAGTCTCAGGGGTGATTTAACCCCCCCCCCCCAATCTCCTCCAAGCTTGACTCCAGAAAGAAACCTTCCCCCTTCAAAATCTACCATTGCCCTCTGCAGCCAGAGTCCCCAGAAATGGAGTGGGGGTGGGAAATCTTTTATATTTTGGATTTAAAACCCCTGAGACCTTTCTGGTCTTTTCAGGGTGTGTGTGAGGGGGTGTACAGTGTGCGGGACCCTGTGCCTTACTCCATATTACATCTATTCTCAGAATCCCACTGATGGGGAACGCTAACCTGTGGGGACACTTTCTTATGGTCGGAGAAACCACCTCTATCCCACCCTGGCCGCCCTGGCAGCCCCAGCAAGGGGGGGTTGTGCATCTGAGCCTCTGACCTCTCCCTGCAGGCGGGATCTGCAGGGGGCAGATCTGCACTGGTCACACCACCTCAGACCCCGGGACCCCCTGGCTCATCTGGGCTTTATAGCCCCAGGGCACTGCTGGAGGGAATTTACTCTCTGCAGCTACATTCAGATTTGCCAGCAATTTCTAACTTCCTTCTTTCATGCTCTGGATTCCATAAGGGGGTCTCTCTACTCCTTTGGGGGAACTCCTCTATCTTGCCGAAGCTGCCACTAGCCCCCCTAAGGCTCAACTGTGATCTTGTTCCTCTTCTGCTCAAGAACATCGCATGCTTCCCTGTCCCTGTGAGTGCAAATCCACACTGTTGGCAGCAGGATCCCAAGTCCTGGTGCTCCATTTCCTGCTCTGTCCACCTCGCCATTGCTGTGCAGTTCCTCCCTCTTGGTGCACCTTCCCCACAGCCTACCTGCTGACTCCTTATCTGGAATCCAAACATCATCACTTTCTGCATGAGTCATTTGCCAAACTGAGGCTAATCTCTTTAATTCCTCTTATATGACACTGGCTATCTGCTCCTGTACTTAATGGAAATCCCCTTGTTTTGTTTTAGCTACTTGGAACTGAGAGTGCTGCTACATCTACGTTCTGTTCTATACCTCCCCACCAATCTCTCTTCCACCCACCACAATCTGACCTGCATGTGCATTAAAACTGTTTTTGCTAAAAGAATGGCCCTTGGAGCTTAGGAGAGAGAAAGACAAAGGTAATGCACTGGGGAGGAGAGGGAGAAGGGCAAGGCAAGGCGTGCTCCTGAGAGGGAGAGTGCCTTGTTTACCATTTTAGGAAAACACCAACACGTTTTTCAAAGTGGTTGCACCATTTTCCGTTCGTTCCAGCAGTGTATTAGTTGAAAGACACCCCTCCATGGGTCTCTGGCACTCCTGCGTGTTTTGCTGGGTGTGCCAAGAGTGCAAGGCCCTGACTGCCTTTACCCAGGCCGTTTCTCAGGACTGTACTTGCAGTGAACAATCTTTTTTTTTTCTGTGGACAGTCTTGAAGGATGACATAATGTCACCCTCTGGAACAAAAACCAGGCTTGCTTACTACTTGCTATAAAATAGAAGATTCCTTAAGCTCAGGATTCCTCTCCTATAATGCAAGCCACCTCAAGGATAGGCATCCAGCCGGGGCCTCCATGACCCCCACGGTACTTGTGGAACAAGCCTATGTGAACAAGCCTCATGTTGCTTGCTGTGCAGTGAGCAGTGAAGTACTTTCTTTGTTTGGGTGTTTTGTTTTTAAAAACTGTCCTGCTAGCCTGGCCACAGTGGCTCGGTGGTTGAACATCAACCTATGAACCAGGAGGTCACTGTTCGATTCCTGGTCAGGGCTCAGTCCCCAGTGTGGGTGTGCAGGAGCCAATCAATGACTCTCTCATCATTGGTGTTTCTACCTCTCTCTCTCCCTCTCCCTTCCTCTCTGAAATGAATAAAAAAATATATTTTTAAAAACTGTCTTGCCCTCTTATTTGCCAATTGGTTCTAGCTCCCTCTCTGTAACATTTGATGTGAACCCTTCCTCCTTGAAAATTTCTAATGCCTAACAAAATAAAATAAAGAAAAATAAAGAAATAAAACAAAAAAAAAGATAAAGAAAATGTCTAATGCTTTGGCTCCCATGACATCACTTTCTTTTGGAACTTGTGTTGTTTTGTGTTTCCTATAATAACCCCTTTTACGTTGTGGTTCTCAGAATCTCTTTCTCTGCTTCTTTCTCTAATGACCTTTCTCTAGGAGATTTTTTTTCTATGTCCACCTACGTATGCTGTCTAATAGAACTTTCTGTGATGATAAATTTCAATATTTGCTGCTGTCCAATGTGGTAGGCAATAGCTACACACTGAGCTCTTGAAATATAATGGAAAGAACTGAATTTTCAATGTAATTTAATTTCAATTAATTTTTTTTTGCAGCCAAAAAAGTAAGGGTTCATTACTTGTGCACACCTGGACTCACAGGTAAGCTAGTCAAAGACTTGGTACCTGGTGGCTTTCAAGGGATGGATTATATAGGGGGAAATCACCAGTCATGGTGTCTAGGGGAGTTAGAGTTATGGTCAGGGTTGTGGCCTCTGCTGATTGGTCAGTGCTAGGGTGGGGGTAGAAGATTATTACATCTGGTCCTCATGTCAGCTATGGCATTGCTATATAGGGTTTTCTTTCTTTATTGAATTTATTGGGGTGACATTGGTTAATAAAATTATATAGGTTTCAGGTGTACAATCTATAATTCATCATCTATATTGTATTGTGTGTTCACGACCCCAAGTCAAGTCTCCTTCCATCACCTTTTATCCCCCCTATACCCTACTCTCCCTCCCCCCACCCTGCTTTCGCTATGGAAATCACCATACAGTTGTCTATGTCTGAGTTTTTTGTTTTTGTTTTATGCTTAATCCCTTCAGTTTTTTCACCCAGCCCCACAATCACCCTCCCCTCTGATAGCTGTCAGTCTGTTTTCTAACAATGAGTCTGTTTCTATTTTGTTTGTTAGTTTATTTTGTTCATTAGATTCCACATATGGTACTTGTCTTCCTCTGACTTGCTTGTTTCACTTAACCTAAGGTCCATCCACACTGTCACAAAGGGTAAGATTTTCTTTTTTTACTGCCAAGTAGTATTCCATTGTATAAATGTACCACAGCATTTTTATCCACTCATCTACTGTTGGGCACTTGGGCTGCTTCCAAATCTTGGCTATCTATATATAAAAAAGTCTCAGCGACCGTTACGA